CTAGGGCAGAATATGCCATTTCTTAGCTGACTTTTGTTTTTTTTCTCCAGAAGTGTGGTGGAAAACCCCTAGATCACCTTTTAGGATTCTTATACCCAAGTTACTCAGAATATTACCAGTGGCATACAAAGAGCTTAGCCAATGAGCGGTCAGCAAAGGTGTTTCCTCTGTAATTCACACTGATCGCCGATTACTTCTGATTGCCGGTTACCTCTGATCGTCGGCTCCACCCCTGCCAAAGCCTAAAGCCTCAAGGCCTGAGCAGGGGCCCCCCAGGCCTCTCCAATCTCTGGCTCCATCTCTGCCCAGGACCAAGGCCTCTGGACAAGGCGTGGGGCCTGGGCAGGAGCCTCTCCGGCTCCCTCTGATTACCAGCTCCACCCCTGCCAAGGCCTAAAGCTTTGGGGCCTGGGCAGGGGCCCCCAGCTCCCTCCCATCCCCAGCTCCGCCCTACCCAGGAGCCCCCTGGCTCAGGCCCTTCCCAGGTTGCTCAGCACCCACGAGGTGCCTACCTTGGAGTGACCTGGACGCCGAGAATGTTCCCGGAACTCAGGCTACTGGGCACCTATGTATGCAAATTACCACCATATTTGTTGATTTAATTTGCACACTCATTCTGATTGGCTGTGGGCATAGCAGAGGTACATTCAGTTTACATGTTTGTCTATTATTAGGTATGATGATATAAGATGACCAACTGCCAGGAGACAATCGACAGAAGAAGAAAGGAGATGTGCAGAAGCCAATGTGGGTGAGAGGAAGAAAACACCTGCATATTACTCAAGAGAGACTGACACCTTTTGTTGGCAGAATGAAATGCTTTCAGGTATTAATCAGAATGAGAATTCAAAAAGAGAATCCTCATTCTGATTACAAAAAAGTTCAGCAAGGTAATTTCTGTAGTGATTTGTGAATTTTATTGTTTTTACTTTTTTGCCAGAAATTAGCAAGGTAGGTTCTCATACTAACCTCATTGTGAAGTGAATAAATTCCATAAATTATCTAATGTAGGGAGGCAGGATAGTTCTTAAATTTCATAAATAGTAAATTGAAGAGTTGGAATATGCTGAGATGCTTTTAATTCTGAAATTATATAATTTTTTTAAAATTGCTTTGGGAGTGACATCCTATATAATAAAAGCCTAATGTGGCCGGGACCAGTTTGGCTCAGTGGATAGAGCGTCGGCCTGCGGACTGAAAGGTCCCGGGTTCGATTCCGGTCAAGGGCATGTACCTTGGTTGCGGGCACATCCCCAGTAGGGGGTGTGCAAGAGGCAGCTGATCGATGATTCTCTCTCATCGATGTTTCTAACTCTCTATCCCTCTCTCTTCCTCTCTGTGAAAAATCAATAAAATATATTAAAAAAAAAAAAAAAAAAAAAAAAAAGCCTAATGTGCAAACTATCCCCTCGACCAGGAGTTCGACCTGTGGCCCCAACCCCAATCAGCCCCGTCCACCCTAACTGCCAACTGCCCACAGCCCTGGCAGTGCACGAATTCATGCACTGTGCCTCTGGTTGGTTAATAAAATGATATAGGTTGCAGTGTACAATTGTATAATCTGTGTATTGCATTGTATGTTCACCACTCAAAGTCAAATCTTCAGTCACCATATATTTTACCTCTTTTACCCTTTATAGCTACCCTTCCCTCTGGTAACCACAATACTATTGTCATTGTCTGAGTGTTTTGGTTTGTTTATTTGTATTGTTCATATACCCTAAATGACCAGATTATTATGACTGCCTGACGCTTGTAGGCAAATTAGCTATACACTGCATCATATGGGATATGGAAGCCGAAGGCCTGTTCAAACACCTTTGCTGTCTGCAGCTGCCAAGATAAAATATCTCCAATTCACACAGGAACACCAGGATTGAACAGTCGAACATTGGGAAAAAGTTATGTGGTCTGATGAATCAAGTTTCCAGTTGCATCATGCAGATGCCAAAGTGAGAATTTCGCAGAAACAGCATGAAAGCATGCACCCCACATGCATGAGTACAACTATTCAAGCTAGTGGGGGCAATGTTATGGGTTGAAGCATGTTTTCCTGGCATGATTTGTGTCCTTAGATTCATGCAGAACAACATCTGAATAGCACAACATACCTAAATATTGTTGCTGACCAAGTTCCTCCTATCATGTTGATGTCATATCCCAATGGAGATGGCTTCCTCCAACAAGCAATGTGCCATGCCATGGCGCTCATATTGTGCAGGAGTGGTTTCAAGAACATGAGGGAAACTATACCTTGCTTAGGTGGCCCCCACAATCACCAGATCTCAATCCAATTGAGCATTTGTGGGATGAAATTAAAAGGGCCATCAGGCAGCAGATTCCACAACCATCAAATCTCACAGAACTGGACAGTGCTATTCATCAGGCATGGTGTCAGATTCCTCAATCACCTTTCAGCATCTCGTGGAGTCAATGCCAAGAAGAATCGCCACAGTACTGAAGGCAAAATGTGGCCCAACAAAGTACTGTGGTGTGGTCATAATAATCTGGCCGCTCAGTGTATATCTCACATGCGTGAAATCATACGGTTCTTGACTTTTTCCATCTGATTTTTTTATATCTCACATGAGTGAAATCATGATTCTTGATTTTTCTGACTTATTTCACTTAACATAATATTCAAGAGGTGCTTTTTAATTCTGAAATTATATAATTTCTACTGATTTTTTCCTTAAAGTTATATCCCTTTATATTTCTGTTAACTGACTATATGTAATTTCTAAAACTTGAGAAAAATTCAAATTTAAAATCAAGACAATCATTTAAATGGGACCAGAAATCAGTAACTAACAAAAGCTTCTGACATTTGTTGACAGTTTTATCTAATTATGGAACAAAGAAAAAAAATGTCCCTGTGAACTATAAAGACTATGGAATTTGCTGTCCTCTACTACATACTTCAATATAAGGTACACAGTAGTTATCCTAACTAATAAAAGAGTAATATGCAAATTAGACGTCACTCCACTACAACAATGGCGGCGCCCATAGCCACAAGATGGAGTCGCCCAGTACTCTCAGCCTTTTCAGGGTCCCACAGTCTTGCTGGGAGGCACTCGAACCCCCACAAATCAATCCCGCCACCAGCCGAGGCAGACCTGGGTATTTGGCTGGTATCCAGCCAGGCCCCCCACATGGATCCTGGCGCCATCGACGGATCCCAGCTACCAGCGGTGACTGCCTGGGGTGTGCAGCTGGGAGGCTTCAGATCCCCACACACTGATCCCCTCCACCATTGGCCAGGTGTGCGGCTGGGAGGAAGCCAGGTCCCACACAGCTATCCCTGCGACCAGCGGCCAGGGTGTGCAGCTGGGAGGCATCAGACCCACACACACAGATCCCCGCCACCAGGGGCCAGCATGTGCGGCTGAGAGGTGCCTGGAGTGTCCAGTCAGGGGTCATGTGGCATGCACCCACTTCAGTAGCAGATCAAGCCTGGCTGCTCTGCGACCTCTGAAGTGTCTGGGGCTGATTGTTTGGGCCTATGGGTCTGGGGACCAAGTGGACAGGTGGGATCCGCCTACTCCAGAGGCAGATCTAGCCTCACTGCTCCCCAGCATCTGGCATGTCTGGGCCTGTCTACCCTCCATGAGACTGGATGTTACGTTCAGGGGACACACAAGTGGGTGGGGAGTTGACTCTGGGTCTTCTGGAGCAGGGGGTCTTGATGCTGTGTTCCAGTTTGTGCTGGCCCAGACTCTGACAGCAGGAAGGAGGAAGTCCCACCCCCACAGAATCAGCCAGAATCAGCCATTGGTCAGATTGCTCTCAGTGGTCTGACAGCCATCTGACAGCAGGGAGGAGGAAGTCTCACCCTTAGAGAATTGACCATTGGTCAGACAGCTCCCTGCCACCTGACAGCCAGGACTATCATTCACCTGACAGCAAGGAGGTTGGATTATGTCTAAACATCTTGATACAAGGTAGCTCTGCAGCCAAAAGAAGCCAACATGGGAAGGCAGTTAGGAGTGACTAGGCTGGCATAGGAGGGAAGTTGGGGGCAAACAGGCTGGCAGGGGAGCAATTAAGACATCAATCAAGCTGGCATGGGAGTGGTTAGGGGGTTATCAGGCTGGCAGGCAGAAGCACTTAGGGGAGTAGTTGGAAGCCAGCAGTCCTAGATTGTGAGAGGAATGTCCGACTGCCCGTTTAGGCAATGGGACATCCCTCAAGGGGTCTCAGATTGGAGAGGATGCAGGCTGGGCTGAGGGACTACCTCTCCCCCTCACCCCCACCTGCCCCCCAGGCTTCGTGCACAAATTCCGTGCACCAGACCTCTAGTTCAATATAAGTTGAATGGGTAAATAAATGAATTTAGACTGACTCAGCAACAAGCTGAAGGGCATTTTATTCAGAGCAATGTATTAGGTTTCCTTAAATGGATGGATTGGCCAAAGGTGTGTCATTTCAATGTCCTGGGCAACATATAAAGCTACAGGAAAGAATAACCAAGACCAGAAATGAAGGTAGTGGTAGAGAGGATAGTGGTTTAAAATTCGAATAAAATTAAATATGCGCAGCATCCTAAAGGAAATTATTTACATTAAAAGTAATACAGGAAAAAACACTAGACTCTCAAAGATAAAATTTCAAATTATAATACTTATAGTAATTCTCCTCAATTTTAAGCAAAATGCTAGTTTTCCAGACTTAGATACTGCTGCATGAAAATGTACTAGGATTATATAAAGAGATCTACATTTTACTTTTTCTAAAGAAGATAGTCCTATAATCCCAACTTTATTCTACAGAAAACTAAGAGCTTGAGACAATAAGTAACTTGGGATTTGAGGCCAAGTTTGCCTCCAAAGTCTATGTTCTTCATGTTATGGTGCCTTGAAAACTATAAAAGATTCTTTGATTATAATACACCTTAACCTCTAAGTAATGCAGAGCCATTAAATAAATGAATAACAACCAACTATATTCTAGTTCAATATTAATCATAAATGAGATATATACACAAAGAATATACTTACTCATTCCTGAGCATTCTCTATCACCATCCCATACATTAGAAACAGCATGTCCCGTCAATAGGAGGTTAATTAAACTTTGGCTATTAATAAAAATTAAAAAGTAATTAAAATATGAATAAACAAATTTTCATATAAAATTATCCCTATGATAAGGCATAAAGGAATGACTTCTTACATTAAATTATGTTAAGAAACAAAGTTAGGAAAAATCTTATATTTTTTCATTTTATAAACTCACTAAACAACAGCCTTATTAACTGGATCACTAAATGAATCTATTGTTCCATTTATTCACATAAATGTAAAAACTTTATCTAAGATACCAAATTTAATTTTTTTAAATGATACCTAGGTTGATAATTTACTTACTATATATAATCATCTTTTAAAATCTATAATAATCTATAATAATAAAAGCATAATATGCTAATTAGACCAGACATCCTTCCAGATGACTTTCTGGATGAAACCGCTGCTGTGGGTCCAAGGCAGCCGTGGCAGGGGCAGGGGTCAAGGCCCTCGCACGGATTTCATGCATTGGCCTCAGTACACATGTAAATGTCATGTTATGTCATGTTTGATGAAACATGCGAATTTTAACCTCTGAAACAAAGTTATAAAGAAAGCACTGTTTGTTGTCGCTGTTAATCCTCACCTGAGGATATTTTTTTCCCAATGATATTTAGAGAGAGTGGAAGGGAGGGAAGAAGAGGAAAAGAGAAAGAGAGAGGGAGAATCCAAGACTCTCCCAGTGTGGGGGGGGCCACTGCTCTAACCACCTAGGAAACACAAGCTAGGGCAAAAAGTACTTATTTTTTAGAGTGAGTTAATAACCACTGTTTTATTGCCGAAACCGGTTTGGCTCAGTGGATAGAGCGTCAGCCTGCGGACTGAAAGGTCCCGGGTTCGATTCTGGTCAAGGGCGATAACAGACTTCAGATAATTACCTGCCATGTCCATACACAGGATCTATCAAAGGTTCAGTTGAATCTTCAATTTCATTTTTTATGTTTTCAATGCCCTAAAGAAAGCAAATATTCTTGGCTTATTTTAAAAACTAGAAATGCAAATTGTAGTTTAAAAATTAACCAGTTCATACTATAAATTAATAAAACACAATTATTTAAGTAACTTTTGTCCCAAAAAACTAACCAGCTATGAATTAGGGGTACATCTGAGATGATAACTGTAACAAGTAGTTTCTCCAGGAGTATCTTTTTATTTTCTTTCATGGGTGCTATATAAAGAATATACATAATATATATAATAGATCCAATGTTGTTTAAATGGATAGAGAAATAATGTTTAAATTTCAAGAGGAGGGAAGGAGAAAATTATTTAATCCTAAGTTAATATTCATTTCACTTTAGGTTAAGTTAAATTCAAAACTAATATACCAGTTAAAGCACCTAATATGTTCACTTAGATCATTATCAAAGCATCTGATATATTTTCTTAAGTCATTTATTGGTACTAAATATATACACATATGAGTGTTGATAGAGATATAAATTTAAAGTCACAAAAGGTATAAGAAATACATAAGAAAATGGAAGATTTGTTTCTGATTGTGTGTTCTCAGAAATATTCAAATGTGTACCATAAAAATTTAAATTAAGATGGCAGGAAGCTTCTTATTTTCTTGTATTTTTAATCCCCCAAAGGGCATCCAAATCCCAACAGGTGTAGATACTGGACCATTACAAGAAGACCTAAGCACAACTCCAAAACGATAAAGATAATCTACCATTGGTTCTATCAGATGACAGATCACTTCTAAGGGTTAGAGAGACAATTAATCAATGATCAAAATATTTAATGATTGTGTAACTACGTTAGAAGGAAACAAACAAGTATGAGATCTTGTGCTTGCCTTCCTTGTAAACAATACAAAGCAGGCTCTGATAAAGCCAAAACGAACAATAGGAACAAGTGACATAACAACTGGAGAGGGCGGGGACATAATTTCAAAGACAGATTTAAAGAACAAAAACTAGACAGGGTGGCTTATTGGCTGCAAAGGACAAGAGGCAGAGGAGATATCCAAAATCTTGAGCATAAAAAACTAAAAAAATAATGAATAGTTAAGATGAAGTCATAAGAACCCAGTCATTTTAGATACCTCTACCGCTAATCTCCACCACTTCTGACCACCTACCAATAACTTTTGATACTTTCACTTAAATATCCTCCTAAATGTTTTAAATTTCTAAATTTAAAACATGTTTCTAAATATGCCCCTTTTTGATATATGCACCCCTATGTTCATAGCAGCACAATCTACAATAGCTAGAATTTGGAAACAGCCTAAGTGCCCGTCAGCAGATGATTGGATCAAAAAACTATGGTACATCTACACAATGGAATACTATGCTGACATAAAAAAGAAGAAATTCTTATCATTTGCAGCAACCTGGGTAGAATTGGAGAACATCATGCTGAGTGAAATAAGCCAGTCAATGAAAGAGAAATACCACATGACCTCACTCATTTATGGATAATAAAGAACATTATAAACTGATGAACTAAAAGACAGATATAAAGACAGTAAAGCAATAAGCAGACTGTCAAATTACAGTGGGGAGGGTAGGGAGATCTGGGGGAGATAAAAGATCAACCGAAGGACTTGTATACATGCATATAAGTACAACCAATGGACACAAAACTCTGGGGAGGGAGGGTATGTGGGGGGGAGGGCAATGTTAAAATATGTACACAGATAATAATTTAATTAAAAATAAATAAATAAATATGTCCCTTTTCTTTTCCATTTCCATACTCACTGCCCTAGCTTAGGTTCATTTATTTCAATAAACACCTTTCTAGTTTTCCTGATTCCACACACCAACTCCCTCCAACACAACTCTTATCCCAATTTAAGGAAACTTTTATTAATAAAAAGGTCTTGTTACATCCTTGTTGAAAATTCTTGTGTTATTCTAATTTTGGCCACATGAAATCTAAAGCATTTTTTCATAATATACAAGAACCTTCACACTCTAAACCTTATTTATATAACTGCCCAGTCTCATCTTCCACAGTTGCCTTTCTGGTGGCTTATGCTGCAGTAATACGAAACCACTATGGTTACCAGACACATGTCATACCCCCAACTGATTATACCTTTACTAGAGACCCAATGCACGAAATGCATGCAAGAGTAGACCTTCCAGCCCTAACTGGTTTGGCTCAGTGGATAGAAAATCGGCCTGTGAACTGAAAGGTCCCAAGTTCAATTCCGGTCAAGGGCATGTATCTTAGTTATGAGCACATCCCCAGTAGGGGGTGTGCAGGAGGCAGCTGATCGATGTTTCTCTCTCATCAATATTTCTAACTCTCTATCCTTCTCCACTCCTCTCTGTAAAAAAATAAATTAAGATATATTAAAAAAAAAAAAAAAAAAAAAAAAAAAGAGTAGGCCTTCCTTCCCCCTGCTGCTGGCAGGCACCTGGGACCCGGGCTTCATCTGAAAGGACATCCCTCACAGCCCCCACTTCATCTGGAAGGACATCCAGTCTAATTAGTATACTATGCTTTTATTATTATAGATTACTAGAGGCCTGGTGCACGAAATTTGTGCATGGGAGAGTGTGTCCCTCAGCCCAGCCTTCACCCTCTCTAATCTGGGACCCCATTTAGGGCAGTCAGACATCACTCTCACAGTTCAGGACTGTTGGTTCCCAACTGTTTGCCTGCCTGCCTACCTTCCTAAATTTCCCCTAACCGCTTCTGCCTGCCAACCTGATAACCCCCTAACCACTCCCCTGACAGCCTGATTGATGCCTAACTGCTCCCCTGCCAGCCTATTTGCCCTTCACTGCCTTCCCTGCAGGTCTGATAACCCCTAACTGTGCTCCCCTGCAAGCCTAGTCATCCTAACTATCCTCCCCTGCACGCCTGGGTCCCCCCCCAACTGCCCTCTCCTGAAGTCCTGGTAACCCCTGCAGGCCTGATAACCCCTAATGTGCACCCCCGCAGGCCTGGTCATCCCTAACTGCCCTCCCCTGCAGGCCTGGGTCCCCCCAATTGCCCTTCCCTACCTACCTGGTTGCCCAACTTCCCTCCTCTGCTGGCCTGGTCACCCCTAGCTACCCTCCCCTGCAGTTTTGATTGCCCCCAACTGCCCTCCCTTGCAGGCCTGGTCCCTCCCACCTGACCTCCCCTGCTGGCCTGATCTCCCACAACTGCCCTCCTTTGCAGGCCTGGTCCCTCCCAACTGCCTCCCCTGCTGGCCATCTTGTGACAGCCACCTTGTGTCCACATGGGAGCAGACATGAACTTCCTTCCATGTAGCTTCAAGCTACCAGAACATAAGCCCCAACAACAACCTTAGTCATCTTCTCAGCTCTTCTGAAGAATTTGGCCTTCACAATGACAGGCTGCTTTGGGAACTTTCTGTTCCCTGGAATTCTGTAGTAGCCCGATCGTACCACAGCAATGATAGGAGCAGCTACAGTCTTCCTTTTGGCAGCATTTACCCATGTCTGCTCACTAACCAGGGTATACAGTTTATCCAAGTTGATAGTTTGGCAGAAGCTCTGGTCCCTCTTTCAAGTGATAATACCTCATACCAAATTTCCCAAAGTAACCTGGTGAGGATGTGAGGGCGATCTGGCTGCGACATCTGTCACCACTGATCGCCAGGGTTGATTCGGCTGATCTGACTGGCTAGGCAGGTGTCCCCCTCCTCCCTCACTGATCCATGTGCGTCCCTCCCGAAGCTGCATGCTCGGTCAAAGAGGACGACTTTCCCCCAAGAGGAGAGGACCAGTCTTTGGTCAAAGGTATACGAGTAGCTGCACTCCCCTGCTAGAACCTCCAAACAAGCTCTCAAGGTCCAAAGTAACCTGGTGATATCTATCAAAGTTAATCTTGTGATGATGCAAGCCACCAACATTACCTCGGTCCCCCAGGTGCTTCTTGTGTTTGCCAATGCAGCTGTGACCATAGCTCATGTGACCCTGAAGTTTTTGGGTCTTCCTCAGTTTGGATGTCATGTCGATGGCCAAGAAGCAAGAGCTTCCCCCAGTTTTTCTGTCTAGAAAACTTTTCATCATTCATTGAATGATCTCTACTATACAAGCCCCCCCACTTTCATTTCACCAAATAAACTTAGGTATACCTTTACTATTGTCCCTCCTTTGTGCATACAACACACACACACACACACACACACACACACACACACACCCAAAAAAAAGCTGCCATAAGGGAAGTAATCATTAATATGTCAATTGTTTTGTACAAAACTGAAGAGGAACCATTCAGTACAATTCTATCCCCAACATTATCAGCCCAGAGCCTAACATATAGTCAATACTCAATAAACATGTGTCAATTGAAAGAAGTTTGATTTTAGCATGGTAAATCTGATTAGATAACTAGGATTAATAGGAACTTGGGGGAAAAGGGCAGGACTAGTATTGTTCATATTGGAATTAACACATAAAGATAAGCTGAGGGAATTAAATATCCATAAAAGAAGCAGAATACAGAACCCAAGGGCTGAAATTAATGGACTATAAAAGCTTAGTTGGGGGGAGGGGGGGACGACTCTAACTGGAGAAAAGAAGAATATAATACGTAAACATGGAAATATATAAACCAAAAAAAAGTTATTATGAGACATTATAGAAAGAGATCTTAGTGCAATGATTTCTCAGATTAGTTAAAAAAGGGAGTGGGGATTAGAAAGAGCTTTTTAGAAGGGGTTAAGGTGTCAACTGCCAGACAGTGCTAAGAGCAAAAGAAATAAAATTCAGAGGAATTGAGTGCATTTCATAGGACATTAATGATAACCTCTGCGGTCCAGAAGAGCAGGGGTGAAAGTCAATTTCAAAGTGGTTAAGTAACAAGTAAGTGGAAAGAAAGAGAATTATTATTATTAGCATAAGAGAGTTTTATTCTGAGATTTAGAAACAGCATCAAGAATAAATTTTTGGAGAAACCAAGATGGCGGCATAGGTAAACACCTAAACTGCAACCTCACACAACAATTTCAAAACTATAACTAAACGACAAAACAGACATCATCCAAAACCACAAGAAGGCTGGCTGAGTGGAAATTCAACAACTAGAAGAAAAGAGAAAAACACACTGAGACTCACAGGAACTGCATAAGGCAGAGGTACGGAGACTCACATAGAGAGGGAGGAGCATATGCAGAGAGGGCTGGCAACTGAGTACGAGGCTGGCTTTCTCAATCAGGAGGGAGACAAAAGCTCCCAACTGCTCTGAATTCTAGTTCTGGGCAAGACTCCTGGAACCCAGACTCATACAGGGGAAAACTGGACTGTCTGGCAGCGGGCAAACTCGAGGGCAGCTATCTCTTACAGGTGCTTGCAACAATCACCGCAGGACACTGAGACCCAGGGGCCTCTTGGGGCAGAGCTGACAGGAAACCATTGCTGTGTGCTCCGCCCTGAGATTCCCATCCAACAAAGCCATTGTTGTTTGCTCCATTCTGAGACTCCGCCCCATCCAAGCTGAGCACAGAGGCTTTTGCATATGAATAGATTGGTCCTCTGAATTCTAATTTTACCTAACTAACTGCAGCTGAGTCAGTGAGAACCAAGAGTATCCAAAAGAAGGCCCAAGGCCCCACAGCAACTTGCATTGCTTCACAGCTGGGCCTCATCTGGGCAACTCCAAACCCAAACAAGAAAGAGGAATCTGCATATCTCTCCATAGCTCCTGCTGGGTGGCCTCAGGCAGAGGCTAAATTAACACCCCCTTGGAAACCCAAGAGCCCAGGGGTCTGAGTGGGGCCATCCAGATTACAATTCCTCAGATCCATAAGAAATACTCTTGTCTCATAAGGGTGTTTCCAGCACAGAAGTTCTCCTATTGTAGACAAGGTGATCCTCACAGCCAATTGGCCTGGAGGTCAATTCCTCCCAGTGATACCAACAACAATCAAGGCTTAACTATAATAAGACTGTACACACAGCCCACAAAGGGGTGCACCAAGAGTGTCCACCTCAGGTAATTAGGGAGGCTGAGCCACTGGGCTCTATAAGACACCTAGCGCCGAGACCGGTTTGGCTCAATGGATAGAGCGTCGGCTTGGGGACTGAAGGGTCCCAGGTTCGATTCCGGTCAAGGGCATGTACCTTGGTTGCGGGCAAATCCCCAGTAGGGGGTGTGCAAGAGGCAGCTGATCGATGACTCTCTCTCATCGATGTTTCTAACTCTCTATCTCTCTCCTTTCCTCTCTGTACGAAATCAATAAAATATATAAAAAATAAAAAAATAAAAAAATAAAAAAAAAAGACACCTAGCACACAAAGCCACACTATCAACATAGGTAAGCAGCCAAAATGCAGAGACAAAGAAACAGGTCACAAATGACAGAAATGGAGGAAAACAAACTACTGGATATGGAGTTCAAAACCACAGTTATAAGGATACTTAAGAATCTTCTAGAAGAAGAAACCAAGATAGCGGCACAGGGTAGATACCCGAATGCAGCCTACCACAACAAATTTGAATTCAGAACTGGAAAACAGGGGAGGCATTGCCCTGAAGCACCAGACAGCTAGCTGAAAGGAGGCTCTGCCATCTGAGAAGGAGAGAGAAGGCACGCTGAACCTCAAGAACTGTGAAGGTACGGAGAACTGTGCGCGAAAAAGGCTCTGGCTTAATCCCTGCAAGCGGAGAGGGAGGGCCGGACTGAGATTGCTGCTGGGGAACTCCCGGAGCGTGGAGAGGGCAGTCCCGGCTGAGTTCACTGCTGGCTTACTACCGAGGCGCGGAGAGGGCGGACAGCTAACACGTAACTGGCTTTCTTGTTAGAGAGGAAAACAGAATCATCCTATTGCTCTGATAGACGGCCCCAGTCAGGGAGAGGCCAGACTGCCAGGCAGTGGGCAGAGATCTCTCGGAGGTGTGTGAAGCCAGTGGCCATTACTGCAGGACTTGGGGAGGAGCCGAAGGGAAAACAAAGCTTGTCTGCACCAACCAGAGACTCTGCCCCATCCAAGCTGAGCACAGAAACTCTCCCAGAGGCTGGCTTTCTCTAAGGAGGGACTGGCTGGAATCCAAAGTTTGTCTGCGCCTTTACGAAAGAGGTGTGTGCGCCTGCAACCAATCTTCCGAAACTCACTGTGAACAGGACTTTTCTAAGGCGAGACTGACAGGGAACCAAAGATTGTCTGCACCACTCCGAGACCCCACCCCATCCAAGCAGAGTACAGAAGCCCTCCTACCTGAGACATGCTGATCCTCACAACCAATTGGCTTGGATATTAACACTTCCCAGTGATACCAACAATAAGCAAGGCTTAACAACAAGACTGCACACACAGCCCACAAAGAGCTACACAAGACTGTCCACCGCAGGTAACTGGGAAGGCTGTGCTACTGGACTCTACCAGAACACCTAGCACATAAAACTATTCCATCAAATCAGGGAAACAATTAAAATGCAGACAAGAGGCAGGACACAAAGGAAGGAGATGGAGGAAAAGAAAAGAATGGACATTTAATTCGAAACTACAGTTATAAGGTTATTCAAGAATATCCTAAAAAAGGCCAATAAAATAAATGAGACCTATGAGGATATGAAAATGGAGCAACTAGAAATAATAAGGATCAACTAGAAATGAAGAAAACATTGTCTGAAATAAAAAATATTACACAAAGTCCTAAAAACAGAATTGAAAATTGCAAGAATCAAGACAAAGATTTAGAACACAAAGAGCCAGAGGACACTCCTCCACAGAAGCAAGAAGATAAGAGAATCCAGAAAGTTGAAGATAGTGTAAGAAACCTCTGGGACAATTTCAAGCAAACCAACATCAGAATTATGGGGATCCCAGAAGAAGAGAGAGAGCAAGATACCAAAAGAATACTGGAAGAAATAAACTTACAAGTCCACCTGGGGAAAGAAATAGACTTACAAGTCCAGGAAGCACGCAGAACCCCAAACAAAAGGAATCCAAAGAGGACTACACCAAGACACATCATAATTAAAATTCCAAGAGCAAAAGACAAAGAGAGAATATTAAAAGCAGCAAGAGAAAAGCAGATAGTTACCTATAAAAGAGCACCCATACAATTGTCAGCTGATTTCTCAACAGAAACCGTGCAGGCCAGACGGGAATGGCAAGAAATATTCAAGGTAATGAATAACAAGAACCTACAGCCAAAAATACTCTACCCAGAAAAGCTATCACTCAGAATCAAAGGCCAGATAAAGAGCTTCACAAATAAAAAAAAATGCTAAAAGAGTTCATCACCGCCAAACCAGAATTATATGAATTGCTGAAGGGGGTTATTTAGGAAGAGGAAGAAGATAATGATAAAAATTATGAACAACAAATATGTAACTATCAACAAGTGAAACTAAAAACCAAGGGAATTAAAAAACCTGATAAACAATATTAACTGTTGAATATAATAGAATCAGAGGTACGGAAGGGGAGTGGATTGACGATTCTCGGGGGAAAGGGGAGTGGGGACTGCAGGAAGAGACTGAACAAAAACTGTGCACCTATGGATGAGGACAATGGGGGATGGGGAAAGTACAGAGGGTGGGGTGGGAACTGGTGACGGGAAGCAACTGAGGGGGGCAGAGAGGAACATTTGTAATAATATGAACAATAAAGATTTATTAGAAAAAAAAAAAAAGAATCTTCTAGAAACCTCAGTGAAATTTAGTGAGACCCTCAAGGATATGAAAAAGGACCGACCAACTAGAAATTAAGCATACCCTGACTGAAATAAGGAATAATACACAGAGATCCAACAGCAGACTAGAGGAACGCAAGAATCAAGTTAAAGATTTGAAATACAAAGAAGCAAAAAACACCCATCCGGAAAAGAAAAAAGAATCCAAAAATATGAAGATTGTGTAAGGAGCCTCTGGTACAACTTCAAGTATACCAACATCCGAATTATGGGGGTTCCAGAAGAAGAGAGAGAGCAAGATATTAAAAACTTATTTGAATAAATCATAACAGAAAACTTCCCCCACCTGATGAAAGAGACAAGTCCAAGAAGCACAGAGAATCCCAAACAAAAGGAATTCAAAGAGAACTACACCAAGACACATCATAATTAAAATGTCTAGAGCAAAAATCAAAGAGAGAATATTAAAAGAAGCAAGAGATAAAGTTAGTTACCTACAAGGGAGGACCCATACGACTGTCAGCTTATTTCTCAACAGAAAGGATGCAGGCCAGACAGAAGTGGCAAGAAATATTCAAAGTGATAAAAAGCAGGAGCCTACAACCAAGATTACTCTACCCTGCAAAGTTATCATTCAGAATTGAAGGTGAGATAAAAAGCTTCACAGATAAGAAAAAGCTAAAGGAGTTCATCACTGCTAAACCAGTATTATATGAAATGCTGAAAGGTATTCTTTAAGAAGAGGAAGAAGTGAAACACGTAAAGATAAAAATTATGAACAACAAATACATATCTATCAACAAATGAATCTAAAAATCAAGTGAATAAAAAATCTGATGAACAGAATAATCTGGTGAATATAATAAAATGTGGGGCACAGAAAGGGAATGCACTGACAATTCTCAAGGGGAAAGGAGTGTGGGGGGTGTGGGAAGAGACTGAATAAAAATTGTACACCTATGGATGAGGACAGTGGCAGGGGAGGGGGGATATAAAGGCAGAGGGTGGGGTGGGAACCAGGTGGAGGGGATATATGGGGGGGAAAAGGGGAACAATTGTAATAATCTTACAATAAAGGTTTATTTTTAAAAAAAGAATAAATTTTGTCCTTATAGCAGGAAAATATACTAAACTCAGATTAATAAAAGCCAGCAGAAACATCTTCAACGAACCTTTGTTAATAACACAGAATACAGAAAAAGCAATACTCCAAATTTGCTTCCCCACATTGAATACTGGTCCAAGACAGCATCTTTTAATTCGGATAAATTTCCGAATGATCTTTTCCTGGGGGGTGAAAAGAATTAAATATGAGTACCATCATAAGGTTTACTACTTTCGTAAATGGGAAAATTCTTTAATTGTCTTATACATTAAAATTTACATATACAAACAGGAGATTGTTGTGTCTCAAGTGTTCAAATATAAACTTAGCCATTAAAAGCAAAAGCTATTGCTGACAACTGTCACTATATATAATACACGCCATTTAAGATAGAATGCATACTTGGTAGGGAATGTCTTCATCTCTTATGTGAACTGCCTGGCATTAATAAATTCTTCAATAATCATACAATTATTTAAGTAATAAAGTGGCCCTCTTCTAAGATGAGTTTAAGAACAAACAAAATTTGACTTTTGTGTATCTGCAACTTTTTTTAAAATTAATGTTATATTTCAAATGCCACCTATAATTCTATCATCATAGCTATCCTCCCTTTTATTTTGTAATAAAAAGTTTAAATGATTGCCGAAACCGGTTTGGCTCAATGGATAGAGCGTCGGCTTAGGGACTGTAAGGTCCCAGGTTCAATTCCGGTCAAGGGCATGTACCTTGGTTGCGGACATATCCCCGAGTAGGGGGTGTGCAAGAGGCAGCTGATAGATGACTCTCTCTCATCATGTTTCTAACTCGCTATCTCTCTCCTTTCCTCTCTGTAAAAAATCAATAAAAAAATTTTTTAAAAAAAAGTTTAAATGATCTAATGAAGACATGGCAGTTTTAATGAAAACTATAGAAAGTATATTTTAATAAACAATAAATAAGTCAAATACTTATTCTACTAGGAACCTTTATACTCACTCAAGACAGAGAAACATTAAGCTAAAATTATTTTTTCATTGTCATGATGAAAAAGCTTTTAGTGTTATAAAAAGTGTATTTTGATAGTTAATTTAGGAATCTGAATAATTTAAGTACACACAAATTATTTCTTAATTTGAAAACAAATTAATCTCAGGCATATAAAACTAAGTACCTTTCCCCAGTATGAACAGAATTAAAATGGCAATGTGTCCACAAGGTAAGTATTTTAAATGTTCCAATGTTACTTACTGAATTAATGCATGAAATCGCTCAAAGCCAAGCTCTTCGACAGCCAAGGCAGCTATACATAAAAGACACTTTTCAGCACTACACATGGCAAATAAATGACACAAGATACACACAGCAGGCTGTAAATACTTTCAAGCAATCAAAATTTTCCCTCTTTTTTCACTCCCTTAAAATCCTATTTATTTTCAACTTTAGTATTACATAAATTTATATTTAAACATTTTAGTTACCATGATTATACCTAAAATGAATATAATACTGAGAGTGTAGAAGTATAAAATAATACACTTCTTTTTAATTCAGTTATGCTGGGATCGTTTATAAAATACAAAAAATTATTGGCAATCATAGTGCTTCACACATCATTGTAATGTGTCCTGCACTTTCATATAATCTTTCATTCCATTTATCCAAGTAAAATCATCAAAGCTAATCTTCCTCTTTATAATATAAATCTTTACATTGAATGCTTAATTATTAAACAAAATGTGTATAAAAAGGCATAGCATCTTGAAACTATACAGGTTCAAGGACAGCTTTAAGTTTGTTTCCGCATTAATTCATATAACTGTTGAGAATTTTCAGTAACTTACTTAGATTACATTTATTAATACAGCACAATTATAAATTTTTAAAAATCAAAGAAAGCATTTAAATCAAAGGTAATGCTTACTTAGCACTTTTCTGAGTGCCAGGCCCCTTGCCAAATGCTCTACTGGTCTTACCTCACTTAACCCTCTTAACAACTCTAATAGTCCTCATTTCACAGAAGAGGAAACTGTGGCACAGAGAAGAATCCTCTCAAGTGCACACAGCAATAAACAGCAGAGCTGAGATTTCAATCCTGAGTCTTGGCTCCACAAAGATAAAGTCTTTAAAGATGAATAAAAATGCGTACTCAATTTATCACAATAAACAATTTCATATGTGTTTATATATATACTTTATAAAGCAAATCTTAGTACTTTCAAATATTAATTCTCAATTTTTGATTTACAATTTAAAAAGTCACATTACATTAGCCTTTCAAAGTCTAGTATCAATATTCAAATGTTTGAAATTACTTTTTAAAATCTAAAAATACAATGGTTTAAGTAATCTTTTAATTTGTGTGGGAAACAAACTGAAATTGAACCTGAGTGTTCTACTGCAAACAAGTGTGCGTTACCAGAAGCCAAAACTATACACACCACACAAGCCAATGAAATTAATGTTTGTGCAGAATGACAATGGGGAAAATAGTTCAGATTTAAAATTTCAGGATAAAATAAAAATTCTACCTAACGTTTTCCAAATTGTACTAATTTTCCTGTATCTGATTATCTAAATAATTTTACTGGGCATTCACTACAAAAGCTGACATAAAGATTGTAACTTAGAGAAAGGAGGCAAGCAAAATAAAAAAGTTAGCAGGCAGGATAGTGGAAAAATGTAAAACACAAGAAAAAAACATAGCTGGGAATAAAGGAAAGAATAGGCAAATAGATTGTTACATGGAATAAAAATTTTAATGTAAGTTCATTTCATTTGTCAACATCTAAAGTAAATTTCTTATATTTTCAGTTAACAAAACTTTTTAAATTTATAGATTATAAAAAAATATTTTTAAATCTGGTTTTATTCATGTCAACTTTTAAAATGAGGCACAGTAAATTGGAAAATGAGTAAAAATGTTTATTAAAAGGGAATTCAATATAGTATGCCCACCTAAATTAGTTCCAAATTAAACGCATTATGAGGCCACTCAACCTATCACTATGAAATGTATAGCACAGTCCATAAGTATGCAGTATAAACTAAGATACTAATAGAAAATGTTATAAAAAAGATCTTACTATTTTCTTATATTTGAATAAAAAACTAGCTTTAAGCACCTAATCTTTTTAATTAGTTCAACTATTTTTGACAAAATGTTAACTTAATGAAACTATTAATATGCTTACATGAAATCCAGTCAAACCTAGAAAATATTTAAAAACAATCGTTTTTAAACTTAATGACATTTTTTACTATTATCCTAGTGAATATTTTCCACTTATTTCTTTCAACTATATTATCAACTCTAAAAATGTTAAATTTTTTGAAAGCTTATATTGAAGCCTGAAAATAAAAACGTCATTGAACTATCTAAATTTTTAAATTCTTCCTTGTAAATGTGCTATTAGAATTTGCCAATGTAACTGCAGAAGTAGAAGAGAAAATGCTGACATCACAGACACATTTTAGCTCAAGGAGACAATAGTGCATCACAGACAGACCTATAGGGGAAGCAAGATGAAAATCACAAACAATCAAAATTTACTTTCTAGATATCGGTTGTCTAATTTCCTTAAAAACAATTTCCAATGTTAATTAACGGAATGCATTATAGGTAGAATAAGTCACTTATTATTTACAAGCACTTGAAACTACCAATTATCAAAAGCCAACTGCTAGCAAGATAGTTCCTAGAAAGAAAAACTGGACAGCAAGTCTTTTTTATCTAGTTTCTATACCACTAGTTCATGCTGGCAGGTTTTAGGCCAATTACATACGAATTTTCAAAGACTAACGACTACAGAACATATTTTTATAATGAGAATAGTTATTTAGTTTATTTCATAGAAAAATCTTTCAAGCACAAAAAACTTAAATGAAGGCAAAATTAGAACTCATAATTAAAGTTACTTTAAAATAATTCATATACAGTAACACTATCCAAAAAGCCAAGAAGAATGGAGATGTAATTAAAAAAAAAAAAAAAGTCCCCATCTTTGCTCTATAAAGTAATAAAAACTACTTTAAGAAATTTTCTGAAGTATAAAAAAAAAAGTATTGCCAAAACCAGTTTGGCTAAGTGGATAGGGCGTCAGCCTGCGGACAGAGGGGTCCCGGGTTCGATTCCAGTCAAGGGCATGTACCTTGGTTGTGGGCACATCCCCAGTGTAGGGTGTGCAGGAGGCAGCTGATGGGTATTTCTAACTCTCTATCTCTGTCCCTTTCTTTCTGTAACAAAGTCAATAAAATATATTAAAAAATATTTTTTTCTTCCCTAATACAAAGTAAACATTAAGGCATTTGAAATTTAAACTTTCTAAATGAGAGTTTCAAAGCTCACAAGAGAATGTCATCAAGCAGGAGAATTTTTTTTTTAATTTAAGAAATACATTTCCTTTTTTTGTTTTTCCCAAAAAATGAAATAAAAAAACAAACAAATGCAATGTCCTTTAGTAATTAAAATAATCAAAATGGAAATGAAAAATACTAAGGCCCATGAATTAAGCTTCGGCTGAAAAAGAGACATGTTAGGAAATTTTTAATTCTTTAAAATTGTCAATAGTTCTATTAAAACAAAGGCATAAGAAATTACTTTAAGAAAAAAAAAAATGTATCTTACAAGAAGAATGTTCCACTTGGCAACTAGACTCTGCAGGACTCCCAGAAATACTAGCATTTTCCTCAGCTGTCTTTCCTCTTAACCATGAAACCAAGCAGTATGATCCAGAGTTGTCACAACAGGCACTTTCTAAAATATCATATAAGGTGTGACAAAGGAGTTCCTTCCGCTCTTCCTCTAAAAATAACCGAAGTACAAATTATAATGGTTTCATTTGGGGGAAAAAATAATCCAGGCATGAATAACAATCTTAACTACGAATGTTTTCATTTAATGAAAATCAAGCATTCCAGGTGGGAGATAAATCTGTAACAACTGATCTGAAATTATTTTAGAAAAATAATGTGCTTGAGGGTTACAATGTCACCATTACTAAATATTTCCATTACTGAGAAAAAAGAATCCTAAAAAATGCACAATTAAACATTAGTAGAAAAAAGTATGTTACCTGATACAATCAACTCTCTCTTACCTGCAAATGAAACATTTAAGTCACGAGGTTTCCTTTATTATGTAAGGGCCTATTGTGACCTCTTTTTTTTCCCCATTTCAGAATTAATCTAATGTATTTAATCTTTCTGTCCCATAGAATAAGGATAATGAGATAACATACCCTCAGCACCAACACCACCACAATCCATAACATGAGCAGGGGCCATTGTTGTTATGTTGCATAATATAGAAGCTACTAATACTATATTACAGTGATTTGAACATAGATTTTGCACAAATGCTCAATTTCTTCCTGAATCTTAGCCACCTTTCCCTTTTCAAGAAGTATTACTATCCAAAAGTAATACTGCTTTCTGAAACTTTCAAACAAAGAGGATAAAATGTACACATAGCCTATGTAAAATTATATGCTATAGGGAGGTTTCTATTTCTCCGAATAGACTTAAAGTTCTTTAAAGGCCAGAACTATGCCAATCATTTTATAACCTCCACAACATATGACATTTATGACAATGCAAATACATTTTATCAATATGAATAATTTCTGTGCAAGCAATCCTAATTAATAAAATGTTCATGTTAATATTATCTTTTGAATCGTCTCTTCTCTATTAAACTTTATTTTGCATTCCCACTATTTGCATTCCCACTATTAATGAATAAAAAAAATAAATGACAATGATACTTTTAACTCATAAAGTCAAATCTCTATGGACATGATCTGGAATGGAAGTTGTTTTGCCCTCATATACTAACTGAGATTATAATATATTCTACCTCCTTTTAGAAGGTGTTATGAAGTCCACATAAAATTGTGTAAGTAAAGATTTTTGTACACTGTCAAGTGAATTATAAGGTAGTAGCATACAGCTCTCTGACCTAAGCATATTGCAGAAGCTATGGCAGCTTCATTTGCAATTTAATTTAGAATTATTTGCAATATTATTTGCATTGTGTAAGACATTATACTAAAATATGCAGAAATACAAAGATAACTGAGTTCCTGCTCAGAGCTAAGACAAAACAAACATAAAAAAAATCCTTATAATATGCTATAATTTAACAGTTTAGGGTGCTCTACCCTTATTTTAGCAAGAGGCCAAGCTTTTTCCCTTAGTTATATTATCCTGTCTTATATATCTTGGGAAAACCAAATTAGAAAAATATGAATTTAAAAATTTGGAGTCACTGACCATGAATTTTTCTGAAATATAAAAAAAAGAAAAAGAAAGAAAGAAACATGCTCAGCCAGTGTGGTTCAGTGGTTGAGCATCAACTCATGCACCAAGAGGTCATGGGTTCGATTTCCAGTCAGGGTATATACCCATCTTTGGCTCGATCCTCAGTAAGGGGCATGCAGGTGTCAGCCAGTTGTTGTTTCTCTCTCATCAATGTTTCCATCTCTTTCTCCTTCTCCCTCTCTCTCTAAGAATAAAAACATATCTTTAAAAAAAAAGAAAGAAAGAAAGAAACCTAAAGAAAAATATCCCATTGACAGTGCACGTTTTAAGATAGATAATTTTAACTTAACTATTGCCATGAATGTTGCATAGATCACCTGTAAAACAGAGGATGGAGTAAACATTTATAAGGCTATCATACCTGGGCAATCCCTCCAAGAAGACTTCTCAGAAGAAAACAGGAGCTTCTTCAAAAGAAATGCCTTTATACAATTAAAGCAATAATTATTACCAAACATCATAAATATGCCTTATATCATTATTTTATTTTAAAATATAAAACAACTAATTTGCACCTCCTTTCTAATATTTTGAATAGCGCTATGAAAATTTCAAATGGCTACCCTTCACATTCAACAGTAACTGGGGATAATTATTTATCCAAGAAATACTATTATAAACTTAATTCTATGTCCATAAAATTCTTCTTCTTTCATAATACATTTTTTTAATATATTTTATTGATTTTATACAGAGAGGAAGGGAGAGAGATAGAGAGTTAGAAACATCGATGAGAGAGAGTCATCGATCAGCTGCCTCTTGCACACCCCCTACTGGGGATATGCCCGCAACCAGGGTACATGCCCTTGACCAGAATCGAAACCGGGACCTTTCAGTCCCCAAGCCGACGCTCTATCCATTGAGCCAAACCGGTCCCAGCCACAATACATATTTTTTGATAAATAGAAGAATTGACTCAAAATCAGACACATGACTGGAAACTTAAAGAAATGTAAAGTGAAAGCCCTATAAAACAGAAATAAGTCCACATTTCTCTTTGATTCCTTGGAGGAAAAGAAATCTAAATACAAGAGTGATTCTGCTTTATTAGCTCTGATTTGTGATACAATACCACTATGAATCATCACTCTATAAGAAGCTTCTAACTTCGTGGTTTAACTAAAACAGTTGTAAGATTTAAGAGAAAAAAACAAACTGATTTCTAACCTTTCCTTACATGAACCAACTATGTTACATTGCTGATTTAATAGAAAATATACTTCACTGTAGTACAGTGTTTCCTTCTTAAACTGCAGTTCAAGGACTATAGCATCCTAGTCTTACCTAAATTTTTTGCAATGTTTTTTGCTGCTATAAATATAAAAGCTATTTCTTGACTACAATGTTTCCCGTATTAAAGGTTATTTCTTTAGGAAAGATACACACAGAAGTACAATTATTGCATTTAAAAAAAACTGCATTATCATGGTTCCAATTATAATGTAAAATTCCTTCCAAAATCTAAGTACAAATTTATACTACATAGTGATATATGAGTGTGCCAACATTATCCTACCTTGCATGCACTGGCAATTATTTTCTATTTAAAGATTAGCAAGAGTAAACAGTTTAGACTCTAGTTATAGTTTTATTTGTCCTTTCTTGGATTCCTACTGAGGTTGAATATCTTGATTCTTTGGCTGTCCAGCACCACTTCATCTGTTCTGATTGCATATACATGTTCATTTCACCTCTGGGGTCTTAGTGTTATAACCAATTTGTTCAAAATCTTTGTTTAAGAAAGACAATATCTATTCATTGTTAATATTCACTGCAAATATTTTTCTGAGTCTGGAACTCATACTTTCTCTTAGATGGTTGACAATACATTATTTTTAGTTTTTCAGTGGTTTAATATTATATTAAGAATATATTTGGTATATGATATGAAATTATCTAAATTTATTTTTCTTTCTCAAACTGCCAATCATTCATATCAGTGACACTTAGTAAACTTCATTTTTCTCCACCACTGATTATTTGGTTCTATAGTATAACTATTCTTTTAGCAATAGCACATATTTTATTTTTTGTAATTTAAAAAGTTTTAATACCTGCAATTGCTCATTTCCTTTCATTATTCTTAATGATTTAATTTTAACTTTTAGTTGAAGTTGCAATATAAATAAAATTCCTCTATGACTGAAAAGATTTATGTGACTATGAAAATAAATTACTACCTCAAAGGTACATCAGGATTTTGAACATTACAGTTATCTCTTTTAAAATAACAACCCCTCCACCAAAGCCGGTTTGGCTCAGTGGTAGAGCTTCGGTCTGCGGACTGAAAGGTCCCAGGTTTGATTCCGGTCAAGGGCATGTACCTTGGTTGCGGGCACATCCCCAGTAGGGGGTGTGCAAGAGGCAGCTGGTCGATGTTTCTGATGTTTCTCTCTCATTGACGTTTCTAGCTCTCTATCTCTTTCCCTTTCTCTCTGTTAAAAATCAATAAAATATATTTTTAAAAAATAAAATAAAATAACAACCCCACTTGCAAAAATAACTGCCATTTTGGAAATGTAGTGAATCTTATAAAACACAGAACTCCTATGGTACATCTTGCACTTAATTATATTCACTGACTTACAATAAATAAAGAGCTGAGGGTACTATTAATGACCCAAGGGGACAAAGTTAATATATTCTAACTTGCAAATGAGAAGGACAAGGAATAGTCAAATTTAGATAATAAGATTCCTACTAGCAACCAAAATTTGCCTCAGTTACTCAACATAACTTCTCTAATCAATTTATGGTCAAGTTTTATCCTTTATATTCAGTAACTCCCAAGCAAAGCTCAAACATTCAATTTTTTCTAAATTTTTTTAATAATTCTACTAATGCAAAAATATATCAATTCTTTAAAGAAATGATGACTTATAAAGGATATTAATTACTTTAGAATCAGCCCTGAAGGGAGATTTTTTTTCCCCTCCTTCAAGGAATATATTTTTAATTTAACAATGTAAGTGTATAAAGTATAAGTTTTGAAAAATTTACTTTGAAACTAACAGTTCAGGAATGCATTCTTTATGCCCAATGAATAATAAATAACACATTAAATATTTATTTTCAAAACCTGCTGATTGAACATAAACAACAAATTCAAGCTTCTTTTGTAACAGTTCTAAAGTTACATTGCTGTTTCAGACATAAGTGTAACAATAAACTGAAAATTCAATTTTTGATTTAAACAATGTAATGGTTATAACAAATCAGCCTTTGGAATTCAAACAATGTTACACATCAATATTCAAAATCAAATACATATATTCATATTAACCCTATCTTTTATGGGATTCGTAAAATAACAAATAAATATTTAAAAATATTTTATTATTTTGCAAATTCTGTTTTAAATCAGTTGCAACTAACTTTAATTTAAAGGCCAAAGTTATACCCTAATATGTCAAATGATTTTAGAAATTTATAAAGTTTTAGGTCATGAAAATATACAACATTTTAAGAATATTATTCTTATAGAGAGATCAAATGAAAATAGTATCATTGCTATAATGTACTTATCTGTAGTATAAAATGTTATTCAACAGGAACATTGTATTAGAAAGATGACATGATCATTAATTCGTCATTTTCTGAAAATCAGGGAAAACTTAGTATTATGCTTTCTCGAAAATATAATCCTGCCCTAGCTGATTTGACTCAGTGGATAGAGCATCAGCCTGAGGACTAACGAGTCCCAGGTTCAATTCTGGCCAAGGGCACATGCCCAGGTTGCGGACTCGATTCCTCCCCCTCAAGTAGGGGGCATGCAGGAAGCAGCCAATCAATGATTCTCTCTCATCATTGATGTTTCTATCTCTCTCTCTCTTCCTCTCTGAAATCAATAAAAATATGTTTTTAAATATATATATAATCCAAAGGCTATTGCTGTGTAACCTATTCATGTTCTGAATTCACTTTTTTTTTTAATTAAATTTATTGGGGTGACATTGGTTAAAAAAATTATATAGGTTTCAGATGTACAGTTCTGCAATACATCATTGGTGTGTTCACCACTACAAGGCAAGTCTCCTTCCATCACTATTTATTCCTCCGATACCTTCTTCTAGTTCCCCCAAGCCCCTTTCACATCTGGTAATCACCATACTATTGTGTCTCTGCTGAATTCACTTATATTTTTTATATCTATAGCAATTTACATGAACAAAAGTTGAGAGGTAACTGACCATGCATCATGATTACAGAGTATATATATATTAGGAAGCAAAAAGTAAAGTATGAAATGTTCTAACACATCCCTCTAAGGAGTTGATAAAGTAGTCTATGTTACCTGAACAGGTGCAATAACAGCACAGGGGCCACCTTCAAACTGTTCTAATGCAGATCCCTCTGATTCACTAAACACAAACCCTAAAAATGAAAGCAAGTAGCAAAGATTAAAAATGTAATTCAAGTAGCAGCTAAAAGAATGTTTAATGTACTTTACTTTGAGAAAGATCACTTATCACACAGCAACATATCTTCAAGTCAGGAACCATGTTAACTTTTGGGGGGGATCAAGGAACCCTTTAAAAAAGGGTATGGGACCTATGCTTCCCTACACAATGCACATAAACACTTACACACACATGCACACACAATATTTTGTATCCAGGGACCCCTCTAAGTGGACTAGGGGGATGAAGTGTGGAAAAGAATATCAAATCTGACTTTTATATAATTTCATTTTCTTGAAAACTAGACAGTCAATCTACTGAATTCAAACAAAATTTCAGGACTCTTTCCATACAGTATATATATTTTTGTCCCAATTTTTTGTCTCTATAAGTTAAAAATTATTAAATGGCATCGTACGTTAACAGTAAATGTACTCATATTGGCTCTGTCTTAATTTAGATATTCCCCAACCAATACTGTCTGAGAGCAGCTAGTAGAAATTGCCACAGAGAGCACTGGCACACTGCAGCACAAGGACAGAAGTGAGAATTGCATTACTATGTGTATAACCTTTAGGAAATCATTTTACATCTGTTATCTTCAAAGTGATCACTTCCAATTCCAACAGGCTAGGAATATGTGAAGTTTCATTAAAGATTATATTTCAGTCACTCATCCAACAAATATTTAATGAGCATCAGATAATGCACCAAGCATCGAAGATATAAGCATGAATGAGTCCGTAGCCTGGAGGAGCCAGCAGTTCAAGTGAAAGCAGACATGAACAAATAATCACTGAAATAAAGAAATAAATGTTAAAACAGAAGTATGAAGATAGTGTTATGGATACAGAAAGGAACAACTGCCCTGGGTCGCATGGCTTAATGGTTAGAGTGTCAGCCTGTGGACTGAAAAATCTTGGATTCAATTCCCAATCAAGGGATCCTACCTAGGTTGCAGGTTCGATCCCAGTTCTAGTGGGGCACATGTGGGAGGCAAATAACTGATGTGTCTCTTCTCTCCCCTACCCCACCCATTCTCTCTCTAAATATCAATAGATTAAATTGATATTTAAAATTAAATCCTCCTTGGATGAGGATTAACAAAAAAAGGTATGACTTACTCTGTCCAAGTCAAATTATAACAGGTGACTTTGAGGTTGATCTAGAATAGGAATTTTCCAGAAAAGCAAGGGTGGGAAGAGATAACTTTCAGGTAAAGAAAACCTTTTTTAAAGGATACAGGGTAAGAGCAAGGCACATTTATGGATCAGATGGGAATTTAATATAGCTGAAAGGCAATATGGGGGTAGGACAGAAGAGACGGTAAATAGGAGGGGATACTGACAAGAGGTTAATAATGGAAAGGGCCACACCCTGACAAGTACTAATATTAGCATACTTTTTTTTTCTTTTTTAAGTGACTAGAATGGGGATGAGGATGTTTCAACAGTCCTATAAAGACAGTGCCAAACTGATAAAAGCAACACAGTGTGGAGGAGAAACTATATCCAAACAATATTTCTGTGGTAAACATTAAGATTTGATGAGTACCTGCAAATAGGACAAAGGCTTGGTACAAAAAGAAATTAGAGCTGACTGAAGTATCTAGCTTGAGATACTGCATGATAGTAAGTGAGGTAAGAAATAGTGTAGAGCAGTGATTTTCAACAGGTGTGCTGCAAGAATTTTTACAACATGCAATACCTGATTACTCTGTCAGGGACACTGACCTCTTTTACCTTAGACTATCAAGTAAAAAATGACAACAGCAACACAATAGCCATCCAGTGTGAATGCCCTGTCTTGAACCATAAATATATATGCTAGAGGCCTGGTGCATGAAATTTGTGCACCCTCTCCAATCTGGGACCCCTCGGGGGACATCCCTCTTACAATCCAGGACAGCTGGCTCCTAACCGCTCATCTGCCTGCCTTCCTGGCTGCCCCTAATCGCTTCTGCCTGCCAGCCTGATCACCCCTAACTGCTCCCCTGCAAGCCTGATTGATGCCTAACTGCTCCCCTGCCAGCCTGATGGCCCCCAATTACCCTCTCCTGCCCTGATGACCCCAACTGCCCTCCCCTGCCAACCTAATGGCCCTCAACTGCCCTCCCCTGCCAGCCTGATGGCCCCCAGCTACCCTCCCCTGCCGACCTGATCACCCCCAACTGCCCTCCCTGCATGCCTGATTGCCCACAACTGCCCTCCCCTGCAGGCTTAATTGTCCCCAACTGTACTCCCCTGCTGACCTGATTGCCCACAAGTGCACTCCCCTACCGAGACCTGCCTCCTCTGGCGAGCCCTGCCTCTGCTGTGCATGCAGCCATCTTGTGACAGTTATCTTGTGAAGACGTGAGGGAGTGATGCATGAGAGCATGACGACCACCTAGGCTATTATTAGTATAGATATAAGTCATATAATCTTATCGGTCACTTTGCATAATAAGGTTACACCTGATTGGTTAATTCTTGGTGTGATACTAGAAATCTTTATATACAAGTATAGACACCTGATTTTTTTTAAAAATCACTCTGGAGCAAAAAAGGGTATGTAATTACTATTCTGATTTTTGTAAAATTATACCTTTTTGTCAGATGGGCAAAAATGTATGTTTTGGTGTGCTACAGAATTTTAGTAATGAGTTTATGTATGCCATGTGATGAAAAAGGTTAAAAATTGTTGATGTAAGATGATCCCATCCCTACCTACTTCCTCTCTCTTTACTTTTTAGCCTCTTTCAAACAGTATTTATATGTGTATCATATATTTAAGAACAAAAACACCTTCAGATCCACCAAAACTCCTTGGAATTTTGCCCAAAGGAAATGAAAACATATGTCCACAACAAAAACCTGCAAACAGATGTTTATAACAGCTCTATTTATAATTGCCAAAACTTGGAAGTGGCAAAGATATCTTTCAATAGGTGAATAGATAAATTGTGGTACATCCAGACAACAGAATATTATTCAGTGTTAAAAGGAAACAAGCTTGCAAGCTATGAAAAGATATGAAGAAACCTTAAATGTGTATTATTAAGTAAAAGAAACCAAAGTGAAAAGGCTACATCCAGTGAACAATGCCAACTAAACTATGGAGACAGTAAAAAGATCTGTGTTGCCAGTGGGTTGGAAAAGGGAGAGATGTGAGATGAATACTAGTAGATAAAGCACAGAAGATTTTTAAGCCACTGAAAATACTATTGTTGTAGGCAATTAGACAGACTTGAATTGAGCAAAGACCATGGGTCAGGTGCCCAGCAAAGGGCAATCAATTGTAGGGTGGGACCTTGCCCCAGTGACCTCCTTCCCTAGCATATTGCTGGTCAAGCAGTTTGGACCCCCTGACCTTTCCTATCTAAAGATAACATCTATGCCTCAGTTTCAACAAAACCAGCCTCAGGACCAGCTACACTGAATAAGAACCACTTGCCCTATTGTCAACCAATCAATCAATGGAGACCACAACCCTGACAGGACACATCTAGAAAACTGCTGAGTATTATATTGAGATCTTCTCCTGGGACACCCCCCCCCCCCTATAATCTCTATCCTTAAACCACTTAGGATGGACGGCCCAGTGTGCTCTCTGTCCAGGGAACACTCCTGTGCCTTTCCCTTTCCCTTCCCCTTCCTCCTCTTGACCAGGCACATCACCATTGGCCTCCTCACTCCCAAGCTCCAAGGGCCCTTCCTTGACCTCTAACTTGTTTCCTAAAATCACTTCTTCTAGAAATTACTATTTCTACCTCTGTAATTTACCCAATAAATGTTCTTTTACAGTTTGGGTCTGGACTCTGAATTCTTTCCTAGCCAGAGCCCAAGTACTGAGGTTGCTAAACCAAGGTTTGGTCTGACCCCACTGGTATTATATCTGGTGCTGTTCCCACTGCCTACAAAACTATGATAGCGCAATGTTGGCATATCATTTATATTTGTCAAGACCCATAGAATGTACAACACCAAGAGTGAACCCTAATGTGAGATATGGACTTTGGATGATAATGATATATCAATATACCTCTATCAATTGTAACAAAGGTAACTACCACTCTAGTAGAGGATATTGATAATAGGGATGACTGTGCATACTATTGTGGGAGCAAGTGATATATGGGAAATCTCTGTATCTTCCCCACAATTTTGCTGTGAACCTAAAACTGCTCTAAAAAAGTAAAGTTTTAACTTAAAAACTCATTTGACCATAAAAAAAAATAAGACACTTCACCAAAAATTCTAATCACCATGCATTCTATCAAAGCCCACTTAGATGTCTATATGCACTGTCTAAATTTTCTTATCTCACAATTTACTTAATCCGCAATAATCTGGTTTTCAGTCTGTGGCTATACAAATTCATTTTCACTGTTAGGTCTGATCAAATAATCAAACTGATATGCCCTCCCCTCAGAAACTGACCAATAAAAGCTATTTCTTCACCTCTTTTCTTTTTTAATCTCCCAGAAAATTATCAGAAGTGTTGACCACTGACTTTTTTTTTTTTTTATCTCAGAGAAGAAAGGAGAGGGAGGAGGTAAGGGAGGAAAACATCAATGATGAGAGAGAATCATTGATTACCTATTTCCTGTATATCCCCTCCTGGGGACTGAGCCTGCAACCCAGGCATGTGCCCTCGACTAGAGCTGAACCTGGCACCCTTTAGTCCACAGGCTGACGCTCTATCCACTGAACCAAACTGGCTAGAACCACTGACTTCTAAACCTTTTGTCCCTTGGTTTTATTGGTTCCTCTTGCTCCCAACTGTTCTATTTCTTCTCAGTCTCCTTGATCAACTCCTTTTATTTTTTTAATTTTTATTTATTTTTTTTGTTTCAATTCATTTTTTTAATATATATTTTATTGACTTTTTACAAAGAGAAAGGGAGAGGAATAGGAGAAAAACATCAATCAGCTGCCTCCTGCACACCCCCCAATAGAGATGTGCCCACAACCAAGGCACATGCCCTTGATC